GTATTCCTTTAATGTATGTGATAATTTTCGTATTCCTTTTCATAAGTTATTCGGGATTTAAATGGAAGTAGTTCGTAAATGGTGTTTGTCGCCTCAGCCTGAATATCTGTTGGTAATTTACTTATTTCGGTTTGAGCCATTTCTGGCTCCAATTCAATCAGCAATCGACACGAAAGAGAATTAAAAAATATTGACTCAAAACTAACAACTAAAGAGACCGCTTTATTTATTTGTCAAATTACATAGAAACCAACGCCAACCCAGCACAATATTTTTTTCCACTCGAAATAAATTCTTTGAAATAATAAATTTCTGAATATTTTTTAAAACGTAACTCGCTATGGAAAAAAATATTGTTTTATACACGACGATAAAATTGCATTATCGTCTTCCGAAATTAATTCGGTCGACGATAAACTACCATTTTATCGTCTTGTATAAAAATAACTATGACAATGTCCTCTATGGAGACGAAATAAAAAAATATATTTTGTCTCCATGGTTGGTCCATATGTCGAATTAGTATTGAAAACTTTTTGAGAAATATGTCACAAGTGACGTGAATAAAAAGGCAAACTTTATACAGGATGAGTCTTAAATAAGTGCAAATATTTTTAGAGGTAGTATATTTCGACCCCCGAAACACGATTATGAGTTTTTTCGCAAAAAAAAATGAAAATTTGGAATTTTTTTAAATAATTTTTGCAAATTTTTTAGCTTTGAATTAAAAAACATAATTCCTTAATAATATAGCAATATAGGTAATAGATTAAATTTACAAGAAAGAAAACCCAAAAAAAGATCCAGCAGTTCTCAAAATTTAAGCTAAAATTTTTTTTTTCGAAATTTTCAAAGTAAAATAACCCGCTTATTTTGGACCTATTTGAAAAACGGTAACGAGAAATTTTTTTTTATCGATATTTACCAGCCCTGAAAATATTTGCACTTATTTAAGACTCACCCTGTATACATAAAAACATTATACGATATCAAGAGATCATTTTTTGAAGAAAAAAGTGGATTTTTCGCCTCTGGAAATAAAATCTACAAAATAAACTGGAAACCAGCTTGTCAGTGGTTTTTTACTGGTAAAATTAATTTTCCTAACCATCAAAAAGTGGTTAGCATTTCGGAAACAAAAAAAAATTCAGAAACAAAAAATGACAAAGAAAAAAACTATTTAAAATATCTAAATACAACTGGTCAAGAACACGTTAATTTTTAGCAGATACGTCTATTATGAACCATTACTGTTCTATCAAAATGATCATGAAGCCAACATGAAGTCAAACTACAAATTGACAATTACTACCCGATCACAGTTAATTAATAATATGATTTAAACTAATGCAATTTTAACAAAACGTCAACGGTTCATAATAGAGGTATCTGCCCAAAAATAAAATGTTTCTGAATAGAATTTCCTTTGCTTTTTTTTGCTTCTAATGCATTTTCGACGGTTAGGCAAATTTGTTTTGATAGTAAAAAGCCAGTGGCAGCTGGTTTCTGTTCAGATTCAAATCAGTCGTGTTTACAAAAATAAGTTTTTTTTATTTTGTAGATTTTTTCCAGTGGCGAAAAAAACAGATTTTTTCAATAAATAAACACGCCACAGAGGTATACCAGGTGCTTCTCAAAAGTGAGTAACTCACCCTTTAACTCTTTTATTTTTTTTAGTTAAAAAACGAGATTTGATATGTTAGTATATGACATAAATTAGGATTAATTGACGTATTCAATTGTTTTTGGTCACTTCCTGTTTCACCGGCAATGACTACAACTTTTAATTTTTAAATCGCAACCTCGGTATTTTTTTACTTTATTTGATAGAAAATAACACTCTGATTAGAATGACATATTATATGTCAACTTTTGACATTTTCGCATATGGTTTATATGAAATTATAACTTGGGGTTCGTAACGAAAATTCGACTAAAAATACCAGTGTGTGGTATCAAATTATTCGTAAAAAATGCCTTTTCCAAATATCCTAATGAGCCACCCTCGTTCCATTTGAAAAAATTGAGATATGATTAATAATACGATTTGAGCACTTTCTAATTGACCGGGATAAGACACTAAAAATATTAGACGATCAAATCTATTTTTCGAAGGCTCCTTGATTAAGAATTAGTGTTTTTAACATAGCCACCGCACTCTAGATTGAATTTTGAATACGATTTTTTATTAAGCGAGAATGTCAAAAGTTGACATATGATATGTCAATCTATCCAGAATGTAATTTCCTATCGAATAAAGTAAAAAGTTACCGAGGGTGCCATTTGAAAATTGAAAGTTGTAGTCATTTCCGGTGAAACAGGAAATGACCAAAAACAATTGAATACGTCAATCAATTCTAATTTATGTCATATAACTAACATACCAAATCTTGTTTTTTTATCTGAAAAAATAAAAAATTTATAAGGGTGAGCCACTTTTGAGACGCACCCGGTAGATATTATTTAAGATATGCATTCGTTTCAAATGTTTCTGCCTAACGAATGGGGTAAGTAGGTATTACCACCTTATTACCTAGTAACTTAGCAGTTGAGCTTCATTCAGAACCTCCAAATTAGTGGAATAAATTAGTGGTTTCAATTAGCGTAGAAGTTTGTTCCTGTAATTTGAATGTAAGCACTCAGCACTTCAAAATTAGTGGTAGGAATTTTCAATTAGTGAAAAAAGTTAACAAACTTCTAACTTTTCCAGAAATTACACTTCAAAATTTGCGACGAATGTCATTTTGGCCTTTGATTATCATCCGTCGAGACAAAAATTGGTTAGACATCAAAAGTTTATTGTTTTATAAGATAAATATTAGGCTTTCTCTATGGATACAACTGACTAACGCAAGCTGTTGCTGGGATATTCTATTAATTTTAATTGTGTTTTTTAAACATTGTGAATGATCATAAACTAGAAAGTATAAAGTGTAATTGACATTTTAGTGCGTAGCATTGTGATTGCTCATGTAGATTAGTTGCAGTTAGTTATAACTTTCTCAATCAAATATTACTCAACATATACCGGGTGTTGCATCGTCGAGCGGGACATAGGAAATCCATGTAAATTTTAATGGGGTCAATTATTGGCTTCCCTAATTATTTTAGAGAATAATTCTATTTAGGTTTATTGAAGAGCAGTAAAACCCACATTCAAAAGAATAACTTTAGATATTTTTGATTAGCCCATTTACGAGTTATCGCCGATTTCTTTTTAAATATTTCTCCTTTCTTATGGCCCTGTATTTACTTATGAGCACCAGTCAAGGTAAAAGATCTGTCAAATGAAGTTGTCGTTTCAGAAATTTATTTATTTAGTGCTTTATTATTATTATTAAAACTCACCTACATCGAAAATATTAGCCATGAATTACACTACAGAAGAAAAAGTGTTGATGATTAAATGGTATTATCAAGGAAATAGTTATCAAAGGTGTCGGACATGTTTGCAGCTCTGTATCCGAATAGAACGATACCTGGAAAATCTAAAATCGCAAGGAATATCCAGAGATTTGAGACCAAAGGTACCCTAATAAATAACTGCAGATGTGAAGCAAGGCAGGAACAAAGAGAAGATGCAAGAAATGATACCGACTTGAAGTTTTGTTGTGCGTGGAAGAGAACGATGGAAAGATCAGCATAAGGAAACTTCAGGATGAAATAGGAATAGATCACACTACAGCGTTTCGAATTGAAACGACATAAATACTATTCCTTCAAATATGAAAAGCACCAAGAGCTACGATGCATGGGGACGAAATACGGCGGCAGGTGTTTTGTTTTTGATATGATGGAAAGAGCAAACACGGATAGGGAATTTTAAACATATGTTTCACTGACGAATGCACGTTTACCTTAAATAATGAACCCACTGTTCAAAATTATCGATATTGGAACAAAAAAAAACAACACAGGTTTGTCGAAACAAGGACGCAATATCCACAGAAAGTTTGGGCAGAGATATTCGGACACAATATTATCGGGCCATTATTTCTTACGCGAAATTTAAATGCAGAATATTATTTGGAATTACTCGAAAATCATATTTTACCTGCTTTACATGATACCGCTAGGGAAAATCAGGAAGTTTGGTACCAAAAAATGGATGGCTGCCCGGCACATAGTAAACTGGCTGTTCGGGAATATTCAGTCAATAGTTTTAACGGAAACGTTATTGGCCTAAATCATACAGTAAATTGGCCAGCAAGGTCTCCTGATACTTCGCCAAATGATTTCTTTCTCTGGGGGCCATTTTAAAAACAGGATATACAAGTATAAAAATACCCAAATCTAGACGAGTTAAAAATGCTATTTCTGTCGAATGCAATAGAATTTCAGTTACCAACTAAGAATGTAAGAAGAAAATTTTATGATCGCCTGGGTTATTGTCTAGCAGTCAATTGAGGAATATTTGAACATCTTCTAAATCCTAAAGTTCTAACAATTTAATAGTACCTAAATTAATAGTTATTGAATATTGTAATAACACTATAATTAACCTTGTAATTGATTACTTTATTTTACTTAATTCATATTAATTTGTATTTATAAATACATCTTTAAGATTTATGTAGGAATGAGTTTTCACTAATAATAAAGCACTAAATAGGTAGATATCTAAAATGACAACTTCATTTGACAGTTATCTTTTACCTTGACTGGTGCTCATAAGTAAATACAGGGCTATAAGAAAGGAGAAATATTTAAAAAGAAATCGGCGATAACTCGTAAATGGGCTAATCAAAAATATCTAAAGTTATTCTTTTGAATGTGGGTTTTAGTGCTCTTCAATAAACCTAAATAGAATTATTCTCTTAATAGTAGTAATAATTAGGGAAGCCAATAATTGACCCCATTAAAATTTACATGGGATTTCCTATGTCCCGTCCGACGATGCAACACCCGGTATAGCATTTAATGTCAATAATCAAGATATTTCATAACATAGGGCCTCAAAGCTGTCTTTTTGTTCAAAATCACGCCGTTAAGAGACTTACCCAACAAGACTTCTTTCGCAAACACACCACGAGCCGATTTGAAGGCTGCGTTTTTGAAAGGTTGACTTAAGGAGGCCGGCGGCGGCAGATGACTAATCCCGGGGATGCGTCGGCCTCGTTCGGGATAGCGATCCTACGCGCACATAGGCTTTAACCTGGACCGGGATGACGCGTGACGTCACCGCTGCCGACGCCGACCGGCTCTATTTTTGCCAAATTTTCGGATAAAGTGCGGTACGTGCGTACATACAAGTTCGGGAGAGGAGAGTTTTGGCACTGGGTTCGGATTGTTTCTGTCTTCGTTTTTAGGTCGGATTTAAACGGTGTCAGATATAGGAGAGAGTGTCGCGTTTTCACGATTATGTGCGAATAAATTATTTTGATTCGATTGTCTATTGTTCACTTTAAAAAATCGTTTTGGCATAGTCAATAGTTCTTATAAACAAAGTAAAAATATAATAATTTCTCGAAAAAAATTATTTAGTTATTTTTTGTAAACAGGTGCTGCGTAAATAGGTTTACTGATAAACAAAATTGTCTAACGAACAAAAAAATGCTTAACGTTTCGGAAAGTTTAAAAAAAAGACATCTAGACCCTTAAATGTTCGAATTAAAGTACAGAAAGATTATTTAAGAAAGGCCAACTTTCCCAAATCTAAGATTTGTCAGCATTCATGGATACAAAGAACAGAATAGATTTTTAACAACGCCAAAATTATAATGAAAAATGCGATAGCCTCTTTAAAAGAAAAATAAGGAAGGCTTTTTTAAAAACAATCTAATAAAAATAAATGTATTGTTCTGCATCTGTAGATGTTAGTAATGTATGACAAAATTTAAAAAAGTTAAAATTTAAAAATCGTCATTCCAAAATTACAGTAGCTAAGGAAACGCGGTTTTCAATTTAAGATTAGGAATAATATTTGCAACAAAATTTGTCAATAATATCAAAAGTCAATAACATCAAAATCAGTCAAAGTCGCGTTTTTGAGATAATTGAAACCAAAAGAACTGCCTACCAACTTTTATTAACATATTTTAGTATGGGCGCTATAATGTGCCTCCCGGCGCCATTTTTTTTTTTTTTTTTTTTTTTATTGTGAATTTTACACTTTAATAATCAAAATGATAAATTAAAGAGCAAAATTATATTTTAAAAATTGCTTTATTAATAACTCATGGGACAGAAAATACGAAATATTTAGAATAGTACTAAAATTATAAAGACTTGCATTTTATTTAAAATAATTTACTGTTATGCAATATAGCATAATTCTACAAAACTTCGAGCTATTTTTCCAGCCGGAATACAAAAAACCTGACAATACAGATTGATTTCCATTCTATGTAGAATGTAGAATGAGGGAGGGGGATAATCACCGCGACCTTATTACAGATCTATTATGAGAGATCCCAGATTATCCCAGAGCCCTGACACAAAGCCCGTATCTGAGACGGTTTTACAAAGGGTAGTTTCATCTCCGATATATGTTTTGGTATTACCCTATTGCGAATCTGCATCGCCGTTTTTTCTTAGCTTCAATCTACTGAGGTGTTCGTTGAGAGATATGTCCTGTTAAAATGCATCTTATACTCACCTTGGATGATGGGTTGATTTGATGCGTCGATTTAATGCGCCGATACGATGCGTTTTGAGGAGGTTAGGTGGAATATCGGTTTTTGCAAAGAAACCAATTAAAAAACATGGTAAAAGTACTAACAAATCGCATAGACAAACCCCATCGACGCATCGTATTGAAGAACCTCATCATACTGACTATGCGTGTATGGACGCATCGGCGCATTAGATCGACGCATTATCGCATAGTGAGTATGAAGCTTGGTGTAAAGGACGAAATTTGGTACAAAGATTCCTTGGGTGCCGTAAGTGAGCCCTAAAAGAGGATTTTTGGAAATTTGTATTCTAAAGGGATTAACTGACGTAATTCAACAATAAAAAAACGATTACTGACAATAAATCCGTTAAAGGGGGTAAAATTTGTGGTTAGAATTATAACAAATTTTAAACACCTGCAATTAGAACAGAAACATACTAACCTCTAAAATGACAAAAATTGTAAATACGTAACTGAACGAAGTACAATTTGAG